GAACCTTTGTTCTTTAATTTTCATAGAAATACTGAGATTTTGAGGTTAGAATCCCAAAAAGCTGAGATTTTGAGGTTAGAACCCCAAAAGGCTGAGAATTCGAGGTTAGAATTCCAAGAAGCTGATATTTTGAGTTTAGAATTCCAAAAGACTGAAAGTTTGAGGTTAGAATCCCACAAGGCTGAGATTTTGAGGTTGGAATCCCAAAAGGCAGAGATTTTGTGGCTATCATCCAAAAGGCCTAAATTTTGAGGATAGAATTTCAAAACTAAACGTTATGTTGAGGGTTTTGAAGCTTAACACAGAAAATTTGAGGTTAGAATCTGAATTTTAAAGCCTAAATCCACAATTTTAAGGTTAGAGTCGCCAAACATCACTTCAATTCTACGTATTAAAAGCTACAGAGCCCCATCAAACACCAAAAAACTTCACATCATCATTTAACAAAAACTCGCTCTTTCATGAATCAAAAAAAACCTTTTCAACATCCACGAACATCATGACGAGCCAGAATTCCATTTCAAAAGCCCAACAGTCGAATAAAACTGAATTAAATGAAAACAATAGATCTGTATAAAAGCTCATTTAAATTAAGCCGTGTATGCTGAATTTCTGAACCTTTTTGTTCATGCATTCGTGAACTTTTTTTAATTCGAGATTAAATTGAAATGTATAGGAATGAAAATTCTATTGAAATTAAAAATTATTGAGTTCATTTGTGTGTGGAGATGATGTAGAGGAATTTTTAAAATTGCAATGGAGAATAATTTTAGTAAGAGTAACTCAATGGGGTCAGCATGAGTCGAAACTCTTGATAAAGTCAGATGATTTGGAGAGTTTGAGACCCTAGAATTAATCTTATCAAAAGCACTGATGCATGATTATTGTCTTTCATATTTAAATTCAGATCTACTGAAGGTTACAGCATCTCAAAAATAAACTTGGAGTAATTTTGATTATTGGAACTTCTTGCTTTGATTAAAGGGTACTTTTACTAGTAAGACTGGCAAATCTTAGGAAATAAGGCAACATTGATTTAATTCTGAAAGAATCTTGATGTCTTCTGACATAAATTTGCTCAAAACTAGCCCAACAATTCATATAGGTCCAAACCCAGTAGCTCAAATTATAGTTGCTTCGCAAACCTACTAGCTCATACCTTGCAGCCTTAACGATGTATCGTAAGTATCCTGCATCCATTGCTTTATCTACCAGCACACACCTAGCTACCTTTATGAGTCCACCAGCCAGCATTTCAACCAGAATCCCTACAAACTCTAAATCCCACACTTTTCCATTCTCAGAAATATTTTCTTAATTTCAACTTTTATTATTTTTCCTTCCAACCTCCAACCTTAATAATCCCAAAAACTTATTCCAAACTTTTACACACGAACCCTCATTTACTTCTTCCTTCCAGTATGTGTGAGAAAACCAGTAACATTGCAATACAATTGAGTCGAAAAACTTAATAAACACGGAAGTGACATAAACCTCACGCAAGAAAGAGCGAATGAGTGCCTAAAAACAAAATCCAAAATACATAAAAGCACATTGTTGTTGCCACAAAACTTTTATTTCACCGACTAAACTATAAAAAGCTACACACCGACTATCGATTTTTTATTCTTGTTCAGTTTGCTGAATGGCTCGTTCTCGTCACACACGAAAAAAAAGGTCAAATCGATTTTTTTTCTTTCTTCTCTTGCTCTGCTTTTAGTTTTTCTTGCTTCTTCTTTAATTCATAAGAAGAGTAAAACGTGGAGTATGGATGGATAGATTGGGAATTGTGGGAATGAGAAATTGGAGCAGACGGTTGGATTATGTATGAAAAGTAGATAGGATATAATGTAGAAGAAGGAGAATATAAGTTAGGATGGCAATCGATGTTGAGTTTTTTAGGGATTGGAGATGCATTTTTGAACAAAATTGGGTTAAGATGACTGCAAGCTAATAGCAATGGACTGAGTTTATCGAAATCTAACATAATTAGGTCAAGATCATCAAAAATCGGATTGATTCTGGACAACGTGAATAAAATCGGTCAGAACCTTTTCAAGATGATCGAAATCGAACAGAATCTGGTTATGGTGACAAAATTCGGATAGAATCTGGATAAAACTAAGGAATTCGGACACAATCAAGTCAAGAGTAATGAAATCTGACCAAATCTGAACAGAGTGACCAAAATCGGAACGAAAATGGATCAAATTAGTAAAAGTCGGACAGAATCTGGTCAAGGGTAATGAAATCTGACCAAATCTGAACAGAATGACCAAAATTGGACAGAATATGGATAAAATTATTAAAAGTCGGACAGAATCAGGTCAAGGGTAATGAAATCTGACCAAATCTGAACAGAATGACCAAAATCGGACCGAATATGGATCAAATTAATAAAAGTCGGACAGAATCAGGTCAAGAGTAATGAAATCTGACCAAATCTGAACAGAGTGACCAAAATCGGAACGAAAATGGATCAAATTAGTAAAAGTCGGACAGAATCTGGTCAAGGGTAATGAAATCTGACCAAATCTGAACAGGGTGACCGAAATCAGACAGAATCTGGATAAAACTAGGGAAAGTCGGACATAATCAGGTCAAGGGTAATGAAATCTGACCAAATCTGAACAGAATGACCAAAATCGGACCGAATATGGATCAAATTAATAAAAGTCGGACAGAATCAGGTCAAGAGTAATGAAATCTGACCAAATCTGAACAGAATGACCAAAATTGGACAGAATATGGATAAAATTATTAAAAGTCGGACAGAATCAGGTCAAGAGTAATGAAATCTGACTGAAACTGGCTAAATTCAGTACATAATAACATGGAACTATCAAATAAAGTTCAAAGAGTTGGTCCAGAAATAAAAAAAAATCATCAAAATTCATTAAAAATTCAAAGAAATCTCTTAAAACATCCAACAAAACAAATACAAGAAAAACTTTATCAAACCCACCCAAACTGACCAGTCTACATAAATTCCCATCAAAATGCTCTATGAATATTAAATTTTAAAAAGTTCATTTTTACAACGAACTTTTTTCGTTATTTCGCATTTTTCCTCGTGCTTCCCGACCTTCCTCATCCTCCAATAATTTTCATTTCACCTTTTTTATGTGAAAAATTCTCGTACTTTTTTTATTATGTGACCCATTTATATGAATAGCACGATGATAAAATTGATAGAACAACAATTTTCTTTTTGAAGAGGAATATGAGGATTGAAAATTGGAATAGACACAACGGACTCACGCCAAACACGATATAAAAAATATTTTTTTATTGCACTTCCTTATTTATTTATGTTCATTTGCCGTGTGCGATTTTTTTCATATCAATTTCAATTTTCAATTCGTGTGTATTTTTTTATGTTTCAAATTTAATTGAATGATTGAGGATTTTTCGATTATTTTGAGTCTCTTGTGGATTTTTGGGGGTTAAGTTTTAATGGATGAGATTATTTTTATGTTTTTTTTTTCTGTGTTTGTGGGAAATTAGAACTGATTTATGTATTAGGACATGAGGGATAAGAGTTTGTGGAGCTGATTAGCTCTAATTATTGATTATTTAATTTCATAAAATATGGTGGTTATGTTGAGTGATTAACTGAGCATTGGTCAGCATGGAAGAGAAAAGGTGAGATCGAGCTGAGCTAAACTGCTCTTTTGAGTCAAGATGAGCGAAGCTCCATCAAATCGATCTAAGCGAGGCTTCTTGAGGTCAAGCAGAGCTAGGCTTATTCTGATCGAGCTGAGCTAGGTCTTCTAATCAAGCTGAGCGAGACTCATTCAGGAAAAAATGAGCTAGGATCCTTCAATTCGATCTGAGCAAAGCGTTTTAATGTCGATCTGAACGAATCTTCTTGAGGTCGAGCTGACTGGGGCCCTTTCGAATTGAGCTAAGCTAGGCTCTTTCAGGTCGAGCTGAGAAAGGCTTTTTCAGGTCAAACTAAGCGAGGCTCCTTCAAGTCGAGCTGAGCAAGATTTCTTAAGCTTGATCTGAACGAGACTCCTTAAGGTCGAACTGACATACTTACACAAACTACCCATCTAATCCACTCATCACCCATCCCATCAAGTAAAAAACCACAACAGTCTACTTCTAAACCCAAAAAGCCACGTCAAAATGTACACGAACGATTATGCTCACGTGCAAATACACAGCTGAATGATTATGATTACGGTCTCATACAACTGACTTTGCTGCTTTTATCGAGCTCATGCCACTCGAAAAATTATTTATTTAACAATATTGTTATTCGGTTTTTTTGTGAAATAAACACTTGGGCTCTTGTTGTTTTAGGTGATTTACATGCTGAATGTGAGAAATTTTTTTTCCTGTTCCTTTGGAATTATTTAAATGCGGTAAATGTGGAATAAAGTTATAAGCTGGTGGGTTAGGGATGATTGAAGTGTAAATCCATTGCGGATTGTTTTCTAATTTAGAAATTATTATTTGAAGTAATTTACATTAAATGTTATTATGCTGTTCACATTGATTGACATATCCTGGATGTGAATATGGTCAAATATGCATGTGCTTCATCTCTTAATCTTCAAACTTTCTCATTTACTCTTAAAAGTTTTGGTATTGGTTCTTCACAAAAATGGATTAATCAATAAAATGTGACAAAATACTGGGAAAAATGTGTCATGTTTTGATTGGAATCCAAAGTGTTTTGGGGGGATTAAGAAGAATTAGAAACTTTTTTGAAGACATTTTGTCAAGTAATTTATTAGTTGATGCATTTTTTATGAACTGTAGCTTAGAATTTGATTTATGTTGCCAAATTTGGTTGGAATTATGGCTAATTATGTGACATTCTGGCTCAATGCTGTCAAATTCTGACTCAATGCTGCAAAATCATGGCTCAATATTGTCATATTCTGGCTCGATGTTGCAATATTCTGGCTCAATGCTGTCATATTCTGGTTTAATACTGCCATATTCTGGCTCAATGCTACCACATTCTGGCTCAATGCTGTCAAATTCTAGCTTAATGCTGCCATATTCTGGCTCAATGTTGTCATATTCTGGCTCAATGTTGCCACATTCTGTTCAATGCTGCTACATTCTGGCTCAATGGTGCCACATTCTGGCTCAATATTGTCACATTCTGGCTCAATGTTGCCGCATTTTGGTTCAATGCTGCCACATTCTGGCTCAATGCTGCCACATTCTGGCTCAATATTGTCACATTCTGGCTCAATGTTGCCGCATTCTGGTTCAATGCTGCCACATTCTGGCTCAATGCTGCCACATTCTGGCTTAATATGAGCTATATTCTGGCTCAATGCTGTCATATACTGGCTCGATGTTGCAATATTCTGGCTCAATGCTGTCAAATTCTGACTCAATGCTGCGAAATCATGGCTCAATGTTGTCATATTCTGGCTCGATGTTGCAATATTCTGGCTCAATGCTGCCACATTCTGGCTCAATGCTACCAAGTTCTAGCTTAATGCTGTCAAATTCTGGCTTAATGCTGCCATATTTCCGCTCAATGATGTCATATTCTGAGTCAATGTTGTTGAATTTTTAAATAGATCTCCTAAATACGCCTATACCAAACCTGCACCACAGCTATCTATATTAAACTCCCGACACACCAAACAACTCCCAATTACGCAACAAAACTCTCCAAACATCCAATTTTTATGAAAATTAAAACTTTATCTGATTACAACTCGACCACTTTTCAGATCCTTTTTTTCGTGAAGTTTGAAACTCTAATTAACAAAATCATCCACCTTTTGATTCCCATCCAAGCGTTAATCAACTCAAAAATCGTTAATTACACAGAGTAAATCACGATAATTAAGACATGTGGCAATCAATGTAATTTGATGAAAATTTTGTTCAATTTAATTTGATTGATAAATGCCGATATAAAGTATTTGGTGTCAATTACGATTGATAAATTATCGAGCTTTGGCTAATTAAAATTTAGAGTCAATTGCAGGCAATAAATGTCAGTTGATGTACATGTGGTATTTATGTTTGATTTATTGAGTTTGTGGATTATGAAGGGAGATTGATGGGAGGTTAGGTTAGGGGGGAGGGGGGGATGTAATTTAAGATACTGCTTATAAAAATGTTGATATGGGCAAATTTTGTGGCTTAACATTTTAAAATTTTGATAATTTTAAATAGCTCGGAAAAATTTAAATTTTAAAAAGCCGTTAAAATTTGAATTTCAAAAAACCGTTAAAAAAATTTAAATCTTTAACAACTAATCAAAATTTTAAAAAATTCCTTTTATGCTTGGTAATTCAGCCTGTAATAAAAGCTATGTTCCTTTAATATCCCTCCTAATCACAACTCCTGACATCTATTAACACTGTGAGCTTTCGTCCTTAAGGATATTTATCCAAGACACATTAATCCTTATTACTTTGTGTCTCAGCTAAACTCCTTTTAGTAAACTAGAGTGCCATCTATGAGATTTATAGACATATATCCCTTAAAGTGTGTCCAAGATGTCGTTTAGGGGTTATTTAGAAGATAGATGTCATTGAGTAAAATTGTGTCTTGGGTAAGTGAGCTTTTGGATTTGAATATGAATTTTTAATATAAACTCACATTTTATTTGGTATTGCGTAGCTTAGGCTTAGTACTCAGACCCTACAATAAGATGTGTCCAAGGCTTCCTTTTCATCTGAAGAAGTTGAAAAATTTCTAAAATTAAAAAAAATTTAAAAAAAAAATAATTCAATAAATTTCAAAAAAAATTCAAATATAATTCCTAACAATAAATTTTCATAAACACTTTCATTTGCCACCGCTCGAGTGGCTTTTTTGTTCATCATTTTTTTCATCCTTCTCATTATTTTTTGGAGCATTGAAATGTAAAATTTTTCATTTTTATGCTGCACAAAAAAAAATTTTTTCAACTATAAATTTTTCACACTTTTCCTCATGCATAAAAAAAGTATGGAAAAATTACTCGACAAAATAAGTGGAAAAAAATATTTCAAGTCGGTCGAGATAAAAAATTAAATTTGAATTTATGATTTTTTTTTTTACTTCTCACTTTTTTGTGGTTTTATTTGGAAGTGAAATTGATGATGAATTTTTTTAAATTGTCTGTGAAAATTCGGTTGGTTTGGTAGCAAATGGGAAGTTTTGAACATTGTTGAGTTTAAATTGTTTGGAAATTGAGAGAAGAAAAAATTGACAAAAAAACTTTAAACGTGCTCCATATTTGGGAGAGACAGTAAACTTTTCCCCGAAATATGATGCACGTTTTCGATTTTTTTAAATTTTTTTGGCTTCAAGTCGACACATTTCTAGCTCCTGAACCTCCTATTGAATTCACACTTGAAAATACTAAGTTCTGCTACCCCTACCGATCCACCAGTCTTAGTTCACAGCCCCTCTTTCCATCATTCAATTACATAAGAATCTTTAACACCTATTTAATACCCAATAATTTCCCATTTTCTTATTTATCACACCAACATTAAATTAAATTTCATTAAATCTACCCAAAAAAATATTTATTAAGTAAAAAGAAAATTTATGAGGTCGAAAAATATTTATCGCCTCCATGTGCTGCTAAATATCTAATGAGGCTGTTAATTTTTTAATGTTTAACTTTTTTCATGGGGCGCGAAGATTGTTCAATGAGGGTGAAAAGAAATTAAAGTGAAATAAAAAATACTTTGGGTTGGGGGAGTTATCAGCAGGAAGAGCCTCAAGACGATGATGATCGTATTTTATGTCCCAAAGGTTAGTCAGAAGATTTATAAAGTGAAAGTAAATTGGTTGTGTAATCTCGCTACGGGACTTGTAATCGGATTGCTGACTTTAAGTTGTACGCTTTATTTTTGGGAATACTTTAAAGTCTACTTCCAATTTTGCTGCACGATACTCCTACTCTTGGTACCCAAAACCACACCAGACAACGCAAACATCCGTTACCGAATTTCCTCCATCCCATCTCTCGTTCTCGCACGAACAGAGTCGAAAATAAACACAAATGTCAGCCTAGTTATCCAATTAATTATTGACAATGGCAATAAAAATCTGATAATTGCTAACAATTGGTGCTGTGTTATTTCGTTTGTCATACAATTTTTGTACACGATGTTTTCACAGAATGGAGAGATAGGAGATGAATTGAGAGAGATACTGAGGTTTAGCATGGGGGTGGGGGTGAGGGTGGGGGTGAATATGGCACTAGATGAAGCATATGGATGAGAATTAGAGATGGAGATGGTTTAGATGAAGTGGAATATGCAAGGGACTGAGATAAAAGGAACGATCGACAGATAAGCTTACAGCAAAACAGTCAGAAAACAAAACTACAAGAGAGCCAGACAGCCAAACACCCAGACAGCTAGTCCAAATTCCTTAACAGACTCCAAAATTCCTTCACTTCTCTTACACCTTCCATCTCTAATCACACCAAAAGAAATCCTAATTAATCCACTCTATAATCCTCAAGAGCTCCCCCACCTTGCATTCCATTCCAAAAAACAAATTGTTAATCTGGCTAATGGTCGGTCCAGTATCTCGTCCAACACACATCTGCTTGGCAATAATTTTTCCCCAAAGGCAAACACATGTACAGACATTTACAAATTTTCCTGCTCAATTTTATTGCTTTTCGAGCATCTGAGGAGGAAGAGAACAAAAAAAATTCAATTAAGTGCCGAATCGCACGCGAAAAAAAATTTCCTTCTTTTTTATCCAAATTTATCTTCTTTTTCCTTTTTTTCTACCTTCTAATTCTCTTGTTATGGCAATTTCGAGACGACGGTGAGTGAGACTTGTGAGATTGTTTAATTTAATTATGTGGCACAAAATGTATTTTTGGATTTCCGGGAGATTGTATTGTGTAGCCTGTGTAAGATGGAGATATGTAGGCTGTTTGTATGTCTGTCTGTCTGGATCAATTGTTCAAATGCGCTTTAAACTCAAGCAAACCCAACATTGCCTTCCCAATTTCCTCATATTCCTCCTCCATTCCCTCAACAATTAATGTTTCATGGCTGATAAAAAGGCAAGAGTGTAGCCATAAATTGATAGATCCTCGACACCAAAACTTAATTAGCTGTATGTTACTTCCATTTCGCTACGAGTTTTTTTTTTGTATTTTCCATTTCTGTCTCACAAGCTTTAATTTGGAATTTTTCTGTCGTCTGAGTTGCATTTAAATGAAAATTTATCGACGATTTCTTCAGATGAAATTAAATTTGTAGAAGATTTTTTTAATTAATTCTGAAATTTGTGTATTCTTGTGGATTTCGTTACTATGGATAGTAAAATTCAATGAATATTTGTTCAAATCTGAATAAATAAGCTATGGAACAATGGAAACAAATTTTCTCATAATAAATTTTTAATGACTAAAAATGTCCTTTTAAATTCTCTTGTGATTAATTAAGCAGTTCAATTGTAATAAAGCTCATCAGTGTTTGGCTAGCAATTGGTCATCATTGTTTAATTTTATTGATTTTGTCTTTAGAAATTCTTTTTTTTTGGGGTTATGTTTTGGAATTTTGAGGTTAGAATTCAAACTTAGTTTTGAGGTTAGGATTTGAACTTAGTTTTACATTAGGATACGTTCCTAGTTTTGAGGTTAGGATTTGAACTTAGTTTTGAAATTAGGATTTGAACCTAGTTTTAAACTTAGTTTTGAGGTTAGGATTCGATCTTAGTTTTGAGGTAAGAATTCAAACTTAGTTTTGAGGTTAGGATTTGAACTTAGTTTTACGTTAGGATACGTTCCTAGTTTTGAGGTTAGGATTCGAACTTAGTTTTGATGTTAGAATTCAAACTTAGTTTTGAGGTTAGGATTTGAACTTAGTTTTACGTAAGGATACGTTCCTAGTTTTGACGTTAGGATTCGAACTTAGTTTTGAGATTAGGATTCGATCTTAATTTTGAGGTTAGAATTCAAACTTGGTTTTAAGGTTAGGATTCGATCTTAGTTTTAAATTAGGAATATAACTTGAGTTTTGAGGTTACGTCAAAAAACATTGAAGGCATTCTTAGTAAATTCTTTTGCAATTATCATCAACAACTTTAATAGTTTTCCATCCCATAGAGCTGCACTTTACAGTTCAACTAACAAAAACAACAATTTCGCTTTCATCTTCGCTCTTTTAAAATTCAAATTCGCTCCTTTTTTCCTTTCAAAAGCCCTTTTTTATTTCTCATTTTTCATCCTTTCATTTCGTTTTCTTCTTTTCATATTTTTTTTCAATTCCACTTGCTTCAATTTTTTTCCCTTTCAACATCCACACACATTCAGCATCCATCCATTCCATCCACTTTGATCACTCGCGTGGCTCAAATGCTTTTCATCTGTCCTGAATGTTAAATTTTTTGTGTCTGTTGTTTTTGCTTCTTATGCGGAATCAACGAAGCTTTTCACTTG